ATGGAACCCCACGATAGGTCATCAGGGATTCTGCAAAGAGATTGGGGGTAATGGCAGAGTGGGCCGGGAGATAGTGTGCCACCACTGCTGGGCCAGGTTGCTTAGCTCTGAATCAACTCATATAGCCCACGGAGCCAGGGGTAGGGGTTCCACAGCAGAAGTGATATGAAAGGGTTTTGTGATTTTAGAAAGTTTGAAAATGATGATGTCCTACATGCTGGCAAACTCTGAGCTGAGGACATCACAGAATAAGCAGTAGGTATCTACCGCTATCTTTTCAGTGTTGGCACAACCCTGATTTTATTCCATTCTCCTGGAATTTCCCAATTTTTCAAAATATGATTTGCTATTAACATCAGTGATTCAGGATAGCTCTTAACCAACCCCTTTAAAACCCTTGAGGACAAATGAACGGCCTTTGCTGGTTTAGAAACAGTAGATTTTGGTAAAACGATGCAGCAGCTAACAATTGTAAGAAAGTCAGTATTCACCCCTCCACTGGCTTCTCAACATGCATTGTATGTCCCAAAGCAGAATTCTTAGAAAAATAAAACACAACTCATTGCTTTCAGAAAGTCCATCCACAAGACTATAGTAAAAATTCCAGAGCTGCAGCATATCCTATTCTGCGGGCATCCTCACTATTACCTTTGAAGCAGCACAAGTCTCATTCCCTTCTCATTGGGATAGCACTGTTGGTATCTCTCTGGTAAGTTAAGGCCGTCATTTCTTCAGACTGTTCCAGTGCTTTTGCAAAGAGCAGAGATGACTGGTTGAATTTACATCCATATGAATTACCTCAGCGGGGAACAAGAGCTAAGTTAACCACTAGGGAAGGGAGCACAAAGACCAAGATAAGCAATGGCAAAGGGGAAGGAAGGGCTAACATGGAAAAGAAAAAAATTAAATATTCTTTCCCAAATTCCTAGTTACTTTCCCAAAGTGAAAGGAAAAGAGTATGTTTCCTTTCTCCCCATAGTCAGTGTTCACTGGCCCGAAACAGCAAAACCCACACTCTTTTGAGAGCTAAAAGCCTATGCTGCCGAAAGCAACTTTCTCCAGTGATCTCTGGAGAAGCCACTACAGAAATCTATAGGTAATGCAAAAATCTGCAGTTCATTGGAAATGTAAAAATAATGGACAAAGTAGAATTGAATTTATCTTTAAAATAAACAACATATGACTCCCATTCTGCCCCCACTGGGCTGGGACAGGGTAGCGAAGGGCTTAGACTGGAAATATAGCATAATTATTGGGCCTTTGCTCACACTCAGGTCTCTTGTCTGAGACTGAAGCAGTGCAAAGGAATGTTATCACTTAGCTGACAGTAATCTTGCTTTTTGCCTTCCTCTAATATTGCCTTCCCTTTACATTTTACTCAGTTGTAGCTTTCATTGCTGCCTGCAATTTCAAAGTTTCAGTCCTTACAGCCAGCACTCCTATCCTATCTAGCTTAGGTACTTACAGAACCCCACCTTTATAGATCCAAATACCTCCAGAGGATTTGAAAAGAGAAATGGCAATCACCATGCTAGCCTGCAGGAAAAGTAGCTCAATTAGTCCATAGGATTTGTTCCCCTCTTACATGGAAATTTTGTCTGCACGAGATTAGCTTAGAAGGGAAGCTAAACCAAAAAGTAGAGGGTTGCAGTTGGTTCTGAATGCCATGTAGATAAAGGTTGTCTAATTTCTGAGCAACTGGGGGCTGCACACTGCTTGTCACAGGCCCCTGGACTGCACCTCATGAGGATTGCATACTGTGGAGGCTGCACACCCCATGACCCACCTTCCTGGACCCTGTGATTACATTGGGGCTGTCTAACTGGTGGCCTTGGGCTGCATCCAGCCCACAGGGTGTTAACACATGTCCTCTTCCCCCTCCCCCCCCCCCCCCCCCCCCCCCTCCCCAGTGACATGCAGACCACATGCACAGTGCAGCAGGAGCAATGGGTGGTGGGAGGTGGTGTCGGCTGGTGAGAGCCAGGGCCACATGTTAATCTGTTGAGGGCCAGATGCAGCCTGTAGGCCACTAGCTGGACAGCCCTGATGTGGATCTTGGTCTTCTCCTTTCTTGTTGGGGAATATTTCTGTGGGAAGGCTCTGTCTGCGCTCAATTTCTTGATCCTACCAGCTGTCATGAGGGTCATAGCTGAGGAGAGTTATCCTCACAGAAAAGCAGGACTAGCCAGCCCTAACCAAGATTTTCAAATCTTGGAACCAGATTCCACATTTATAAATTGCCAAGACCTAGAAAATGTATAACAACAAATTGCCTATAGAAGTCATTTTCCCCTCATACCTCATTAACCATTTCAATGCAGAAACATGATAATAGAATGGGCCTTTACCACCCCCACCCAACCTTGCAGAAATTGGTGAATTGTGGAAGAAATTTGTCACACTGGAGGGCAAGTCAGAATGACATTAGGGAAGGGGGTAGTTGAACACAGTATGTAAAAGGGAGCCCTAGAACCTGGAACCCACCAGCAGTAGTCCCTCGCTCTCAGACACTGTCCATCTTACAAAATCAAGGGTGGGGCCCCTCTCTGATAAAAAGAAAGTTCTGCGGGGTAGGGATGTTAGAGAGAGGAGTAGGCCATTCAGAGCAGAGGGGCAGGGAAAACCTTGCAGCTCAGAGGAGGAAAGGCCAGCACACTGGAGCAGAATGGGGTACATCTCTGGTGTGAGGTGCATTGGGAGGCACAGGGGCAGGGACTGAAGGAATGGGGACAAAGACCAGGGGGAGGGAGGTGGAGGAACTTATGGCCTTTGGCCCACACCTTAGCAGAGATGAGATCCACCTAGGGGCAGCAGAAGGGGCAGGGCCCTGGGGCCATAAAAGGAAGAGCCCAGGCTGCAGAGGGGAGGGCAGGGTATGCCAGGGAAGGGGTGGTGGAGCAGACAGGCAGAAGGCTGGGTACATTTGCACCTTCTGCAGTAACTGTATGGGGAATAGGTGAGCCTTGACAGGCAGCCACTTGCTTCAGTTCAGGTCAGGGGTGGAAAAGGAGGCCGTGCCAGCGGGCGGGCGTGGGGCAGGATGCTCCGGGACAGGCAGAGGGGACGGAGCCGAGGGAGCGCTGGGGCCCCGGGGACAGCACGCGGGGGAGCTGGGGCGGGTGGAGACACGCAGGCGGCAGCGGGGCGCAAGCAGCTCTGGGCAGGACGAGGGACAAAGCGCAGCGCACGGAGCCGTGCTCGGCCCGGCTGGGGCTGCAGGGGGCGGGGGGCAGGGCCC